ACCAGTAACTGATTCGTGAAGGAATAAGAATACAACTAGTTCGATGAAATTATATTACACGTATCAACTGAATTACTTTATCCATAAGAAGAATTGGAAAAAGACACATTAAACGTCTTTAAATGCTTTAAATGATGCACAAAATAAAATAATAATGAAAAAAAAAAATTTAAAAATGATATTTGTATAACATATGTTTTTTATACACACAAATTTGATAAATTTAAAATATGACAAAAAAAAAATAATATAGAGAATTTTAAAAATAATTTAGGCTTTCATATTACACGACGAATTGTAATATTATATAATAAATTTCATAGATACTGAATTATTGGACATTTATTTGTTGGTCCATATATTTATATACATGTGTTAAACAAACTTATATTATTCATTTTTTGAGTATAGCACCAATACATCGTAATACGTACAATTCATCCTAATATCTTCTAGCATTTAAATGCACAAAATATATTTTATAATTGTGTAAATATTTAATAAATTTAAAATTGAAAGGTATGAAATAATTAGAATAAATTCCGAATATAACATTTTCAATAATTTATTATATATTTCATTTGATATTTTACTTTTTACTATGCTCAAACAAATCGAGATAAAATGGCCCCAATCGGGAGGTCATAACGTTTGCAAAAATTTTGCTACTTTTTTCTCGTGTGCCATAATTACTTAGGTAGTTATCAATTAGTACTTCTTGTGTTATTTGAAAAGTTATTGATATTAAGATCATGCTATATGTACTGAATTTTTGTACCAAATCTTTTACCTACTACTCACAATGAGAACGTGGACCACATTGTCGGAATGTTTAAAGAATAATGCTCCTTGTATAATGTTGGGTTACAACCTCTCACAAGAAAGGTGAGACCCACTGTTATTTTAATCGTGGGGCACACATCCTTTGCGAGAGGTTGTAACTTAATGTTGTAACACATGTGTTGTACATGTAATATTGTTCATTTTTAAATACACGCAGGCTCCGCACATTATGTGAGATGAGGTGATTCATTATGTACAAATCATTATGTACAAATGGATTAATCCTTGATATTAATACGTTCGCATACGCAAGCTTCATCGCCATTAAGTGCTAATAGTGGGTAATTTTACTTAATAATTCCCATTTTTTTATTCTACTTTTGTTGAGTTGGAGTAGTAAGTAAGATTTTGGTGTACTTAATGATAGGATTAGTGGGCCACTACAATTCAAGAAATCAAGAACTAGAAGACTTTGTCAACAAATTATTACAATGTAAAATCGCATTTATGTGGTAATAAATTCGTATTTTTTTTGTCCTTTTCGGAAGAGTTGGTGGGAAAAAACGTCACTTTAAACCGTCAAACATAATTAAATCATCGTTGATGTTGATTTTGTGAAAAATAATTTTTTGAGATTGAGTGATTAAAAAGCACGAAAGGGTTACGAATTCACGTAAAAATTATTAAACGTATAATTTAAAATAATTTTGAAGAAAAATAACATTTGAAAAATTTAAACCAAACAAAAGCTGAACATGGATCACATATAATCCATGAATTTGGAGTAAAAGGAGGCTATTTGAATTAGAAATAGAGAGAAGCAATGGAAATGATCAAGGTAGCCGTCCTTTACTCGATAGGGCGTTTTTAGTTCTTGAGAAGTTACTATGCTTCCAAAATAGTGACAGTCGAATAGTAAAATCACAGATCATTTTACATGTGAAGTTTAAATTATTCATAGTGTAAATAAAAACAACATTTATACATCTTCCAAATACGATCTAAAATATTCTTAATTAACGCTCAGTTTACAATTTTTTTTTTTTTAAAACACAATTTACATTTAAGAACATGAAAATAATATAAGAGCAGGGATTTTTGCTATCCTTATAGTCATTTTTGATACTTGATTCGATCCATCTCTCATAGAACTTCATTGAACTGAATTGTAACCTCTTCGACTTTTGTCACACGAGAATAGGCCAAGTTGGATTTGATTATCAACACACACACACCCACAAAAAAAAAAAAAAAAAATCTATATAACCTGATGCTATCAAAAATCGTACATGTTGACTTTCGAGCTTGACGACTGAGAATGAGAACGAACGAAGTCTTTCGGTACCTGAAACAAAGGCGTCGAGCTGTGTCTTCGTCGCTCTTCGGATACTTAAGTCAAAGAGAATATGAAAAGAGTATATGCTATAAATTGTGTGTAAAAACATACATTGGTAATGAATGAAAATGATGTATTTATAAAGGTAGGTAGTGGACTCATAGTAGGACTGCAATTTTGAGATCCCTAGAACTCTAGGCCCTGTTTGGGAGAAATTTTAATTAGGATTTTAATAAAAAAATCTAGCCGTTAATCAGCCACCATTTTTGACTTTCCCTCTCACAGGTGGAGCCCACCGATTGACTTTAACGACTATAATTTTGATTAAAATCCCACAAAAATTTCTCCCAAACACACTCCTAGTGTAATGGGGAGTTGTTGTTTAGTTGATCTTGTGTTTTCCGAGTGATAGGGTTAGAATGGGATTCCGGGTTGAGAGTCCTCTCAGAATGAGGAAACGTATCGATGGAAAGACTCTCTCTCTCTCTCTCCCCCTCTCCCTCCCTCTCCTAGGTTGGATAAGCCCATACATGAGAGGGAGTTACAAGAAATCAAACAGAGCCCGAGAAAGACTATTGATGAAGGAAGTCCGACGTGACGGAACCTGATGAGATTGACCTCTCCTTGAGGCCAACCAAGGGAAGTTGTCTTCGGGATGAGAGCTGTCCTCGGGCTCATCCAATATTGGTATCATCATAACCCAATATTTTCCTTTTAATTTTTGGCCTTTTAACAGCTAACCTTTTATTTTTAAAATTCATCACGTACATGTCCTTTAATTTTGAAGTTTTTAATATCGTGCACTCCATATCTTCACTTGATGAAAAGATTTTACTTAGGCGTTAAATAGCTACAAGATACAATGTCCAATTAAAGGATTAAATTATCCGATAAAGATTTCCTCTAACATTAATGTTACCATGATAGTTTGATTCGTGTGGAGACGATTTTGTGGTGGTGTTGATGCCTCTATTTAGTTGGAGGGAAATCTTGTTTTGACAATGTACACGCCTCGTGACTATTTTACAAGTACAAATACCAGGCCCATTGTATTAATTATTAAAATTTTTGGGGACCTAGGAGGAATAAGTATGAAGGGTAGAGGGGGGTACTTTTCAAAATGCCCAAGTCAAAGCACCCTTTTTCCATTTTGCCCAAAAATTTTTCGCTCAGTTTACAATTTTTTTTTTTAAACACAATTTACATTTAAGAACATGAAAATAAAATAAGAGCAGGGATTTTTGCTATCCTTATAGTCATTTTTGATACTTGATTCGATCCATCTCTCATAGAACTTGATTGAACTGAATTGTAACCTCTTCTACTTTTGTCACACGAGAATAGGCCAAGTTGGACTTGATTATCAAAACACACACACACAGACACCCACAAAAATAATAATAATATATATAACCTGATGCTACAAAAAATCGTACATGTCGACTGATGCTACAAAAAATCGTACAAGTCTTTCAGTACCTGAAACAAAGGCGTCGAACTGTGTCTTCGTCGCTCCTCCGATACTTAAGTCAAAGAGAATATGAAAAAGAGTATATGCTATAAATTGTGTGTAAAAACATACATTGGTAATGAATGAAAATGATGCATTTATAAAGGTAGGTAGTTGACTCATAGTAGGACTGCAATTTTGAGATCCCTAGAAGTTCTAGGCCCTGTTTGGGAGAAATTTTAATTAGGATTTTAATAAAAAATCTAGCCGTTAGTCAACCACCATTTTTGACATTCCTTCTCACAGGTGGAGCCCACCGATTGACTTTAACGACTATAATTTTGATTAAAATCTCACAAAAATTTCTCTGAAACACACTCCTAGTGTACTGGGGAGTTGTTGTTTAGTTGATCTTGTGTTTCCCGAGTGATAGGGTTAGAATGGGATTCCGGGTTGAGAGTCCTCTCAGAATGAGAAAACGTATCGATGGAAGGACTCTCTCTCTCTCCTAGGTTGGATAAGCCCATACATGAGAGGGAGTTACAAGAAATCAAACAGAGCTCGAGAAAGACTATTGATGAAGGAAGTCCGACGTGACGGAACCTGATGAGATTGACCTCTCCTTGAGGCCAACCAAGGGAAGCTGTCTTCGGGATGAGAGCTGTCCTCGGGCTCATCCAATATTGGTATCATCATAACCCAATATTTTCCTTCTAATTTTTGGCCTTTTAACAGCTAACCTTTTATTTTTAAAATTCATCACGTACATGTCCTTTAATTTTGAAGTTTTTAATATCGTGCACTCCATATCTTCTCTTTTAACAGCTAACCTTTAATTTTTATAAGTCATCACGTACATGTCCTTTAATTTTGAAGTTTTTAATATCGCGCACTCCATATCTTCGCTTGAGGAAAAGATTTTACTTAGGCGTTAAATAGCTACAAGATACAATGTCCAATTAAAGGATTAAATTATCCGATAAAGATTTCCTCTAACATTAATGTTACCATGATAGTTTGATTCGTGTCGAGACGATTTTGTGGTGGTGTTGGTGCCTCTATTTAGTTGGAGGGAAATCTTGTTTTGACAATGTACACGCCTCGTGACTATTTTACAAGTACAAATACCAGGCCCATTGTATTAATTATTAAAATTTTTGGGGACCTAGGAGGATAAGTATGAAGGGTAGAGGTACTACTGTACTAGGTAGGAATCCCAGTTGGACCGGGCCTGATATGCAAGGAGAACGGGCCAAGCAGCCCAACATTGGATTAAGCCCATTAAAAGAGTGCACTTGCAAAAACACTCTTCCATTTCGGCTGCACTCATCCGATCAATAAAAGCGCAGCGTTTGAGTTTTAACACGGTATACTCGCGCACACTGATTACGCTCTCATCTTATCCCCCTCGCAATCAACTGCATAAAAACGATGTCGTATGTACCTCCTCACCTGAGAAATTCGACCGCCACCACTGCAGCCGATCATTTGCCGTGGCCGCTAATGTTCTGCACGAAGCAGCTCAATAACTCCTCTTCTCAATTGACTTCCGGTAGAGTCAATTCTACGCTTGAGACTGATATTAATGGTCACTCGTGGAATGCGGGCAATCGGTCATCCGGTAGTTACAATTCACCTCGGATTGTTGTTGTGCCCGACCCGGTTTTTCCTCAATGGAATCCCTCCGAACGTCTTATGCGCCTTAAACCAGAGCAGGTTCGGTTGTTGTTGTCTCATGTTTTCTTAAATAATAGTTTATAGAGTTTGAGTAAAAATATAAACGGGAATGCTCCAAACTATTCTTCTTACGGATGATTTTATATGATTTTTTTTCATTAAGTTTTTGACGTTGATTCTGACTGCTAGGAGTATTCTTGTTCTTTCAGTGACTTTTATCTATGATTTTGTGTTCAGTGGATTATGCTTGAATTAATTTAACAAGTAATTTGAAATTGGAAAGTTGGACATTTGAAAGACTTTAAGTTCCTATATATAAAAAAAAGAACACAATGATATAGTGATGCATTCTGTTACGGTTGTAGAGCCTTTGTTATTGATTGTACTCTTTGACCTCATGCATAGCCTGGAAGAACAGCGGCTGGGAATTATGTGGTGCCACTCTGAAGCTTTAGGCAAATTCTTTGAGATCATATACAAGCTTTCATCTCTGTTTGGCCTCTTTTTCTCAAAATCATTTTCATGCACACATTTCACGTGACTCACAACTTTTGTTTACTTTTCAACCACACATTTCATCAACTTTTATTAAAATCTACTAAAAATCTATTTTTTCACTAAATTAAACTGAGGCTTTTTGATTTTAGCCTTCTTAGCATTATATCATCTACGTGAGACACTTTTTTCTCTTCTAGTTATTTTGAGAATGCTTTGTTCCCCAAGTTCTGGTAAGTGGTGGTGTCAATATTTCTTAGCCCGGACATGGTGACCTTATAACAGCAGATTTTTGGTTAGTTATGAATGAGGTCTTAAATGAACATTTTGATTTGGTGATACCTTAAAAATGTATGGAAATCAGAATCTTGTGCCCCAAGGTTGAGTCAATCAATGTGACGATTCTAGGAAATGAATAGCTGTAATGCTAAGACTCCATTTTCCTTTAAGTTCTTGACCAACACCATGTCTGTTACCATTCTAGGTAAAAGACCTCTTATATAAATCTGGCTTGAGATAGCTTGTGGCTTCTTCTCTAATGTCCTCTTTTTTATACCTATAAATCTGATTTGCTTTACGCAGACCATATCCTTGTGGATCTGGTCATTGTGAGATCTCTTAATCACAACGACCAACCTAACTCTTTGAGGGATAAATCTGCAAGCTCAAGGAGCAAGCCAAGTAGTGCTCCGTGTTACTGGGCATGCCCAACATCTTCAACTTTCAAGTCTGCTTTACTAAATTAGACAAGATGGTTTGTCGCTGCCTTTCTAGAGTGATTTTCTTTTGTTTTATTTCACTGGTCGGTTTCTTTCTAATATTGAACTTATTTGTTACATGTGTATGTATACCTGACGTGTCTTCGCTTGACCACCCATACATCTGCATTGTGCCTCAAGCTCACTAGTTATAATTTCCTTTCTTTAGAAACCTCCCAATCATAATCCGTATGCCTTTAGTCAACCTTACTTTCTCAAGATCTTCTATTGGTGATATTTTCACCCAAATATGCCTCTAGACAGATTGATTAGAAGTCTTACTTTTTTAATGCTGGCAACCTAATCTATAACTTGACCGCCCTTAAACTCTCCCGCTCTCTCTCGGTAGTGAATTTTACTATCAATGGTAAGTGGATACCATAATCCCGATTGCGATGAGAAGGGGCCTTTCAAGAATGGCACTGTAAGCCAATGAGTTACTGCTTAGAAATTTCCATTGTGATAACATGCTTCGAGGTTGTCACAAGTTTGAGGGGTAGTTTGATTATTCCTTTTGGGCTAATCAAATCTCCAGAAATCCTTGTAAGGGTGTTTTGACATGTTGTAGTCTTTGGGAGGCCCATCTTCTCGAAAGCATCCATGGTTAGTATATCTATGGAATTTGTAGTCTATCAATATCGGTTAATGTTGTCATGTGGCATGCTGATTCCTAGCTACCATCATTTCTAAAGGCAGTCACTTAATCTCGGGTCGCTGTGCAGGCACGGATTACCAATTGTGACATAGTTATTGGTTAACTAGGAAAATAGTATGTTGCTTTGAAGTCTATCTTGGTAGTATTGTTTAAGGTCAGTATGTGTTGCACCTAAATGCATGCTCTTAGGTGTGTTATTTTGTTAATTCATAAAGCTTGGATTCATCACATTGCTATTTATTTGTACATACAGATTCAGGAGGTCCGCTTAAGGCTTAATGTTGATGTTACTGTTTCTCCAGACTCACTTCCTGCACCTGCTCCTAGTGAATCATTTGTTGATATGGTAAGAATCATGAGGTCAATTTTCTTCATTTCTTTTGATGTTCTTTTATTTTTGTCAGAAACTAATTCAAAGTGTATTCTAAAATTCTTTTCTGCAGAATTTGTGCGCGAACATCTTGAAGGATATTGCGTTTCATGGATATACTTCTCCTACTTCCATTCAGGCCCAAGCCATGCCAGTTGCTCTAAGTGGACGGGATCTGTTAGGTTGTGCAGAAACTGGTAGTGGTAAAACTGCTGCATTCATCATACCTATGATACAGGTTTTAGTTTTTACTTCTGCTTTTGATTTGTATCTAGATATGTAACCCTATCACGGATATTCTCTTTGTTTTATTGTTCTATTATAACTTATCATATGGTTTTTCTTCCTTGTAGCATTGCCTGGCTCAGCCTCCTCTTCGGCGTGGAGATGGACCTTTGGCATTAGTATTGGCTCCTACGAGAGAGCTAGCACAACAAATAGAGAAAGAGGTGAGATCGCTGATTTCATGTACTTTACACTTGAAAATGTCATCGATATATTATGTATTCTATTCTTGGTTCCAAGATGTGACAGTTGAAAGACTGTTGCTCCAAAAACAAATTGGAAGGAAATGATGTGATAATTTCTGATAATACGTGTGGAGGTTAGATTTCATGCCCAGACATTCAATATGGATTATTAACTAGAGAATCTTCAACTCAAGAATTTCCAAACATTCACATTTTTCCTTGTTAGTATATAGAGTTTATACACTATCCGTGATCAGAAGTGTTTTACATTCACATTTTTCCTTGTTAGGTTAAGGCATTCAGTAGATCTTTGGATTCCTTCAGAACTGCAATTGTTGTTGGCGGAACCAACATTTCTGAGCAGGTAACTAGTTTAGCTCAAATTAATACATAAAATTTGATAACTTTGTTTCTTTTTGATATTCGAAGTTCATGGTTTGCAGCACAGCTCGATACTAGTTAAAGTTGTGATTTACCTACTATAATGCTTAGTATTCATCTTTGTTCTGATTGCCTTCTGTTACTGGATGCCAAGACAGAGGTCTGAGCTGCGAGCTGGGGTCAATATAGTGGTTGCTACTCCTGGAAGATTTATTGATCATCTACAACAAGGAAATTCTTCTCTCTCCAGGATTTCATTTGTCGTTTTGGATGAAGCTGATAGGATGCTTGACATGGGATTTGAACTTCAGATAAAAGAGGTCATTCATGTCCACATATTTGTTCTATTAAATGATCATGTGCACATAAGTATTTTCCTCATTTATCTGTTGTATTCCAACTTATGTCCTTCCTGCCTCCCTCCTTCAGTGATTTTCACTTTACTGTATCTTATGTCCATCAATTGCATACATAATTAAATTTCTTTGAAATCTTAACCTTTGATTTTCTGTGCTACTGATTTTTTTCTTTTCTTTTCCTTCTTTTAATCTTAACTCATTCTATGCTAGACCATTTAAAACCACACGACACAAGCACATTGAGTCATGATCAGAATCCACCATTAAAATGATCTGAAGTGATATGGGTTTTCTCAACCTTTCTATCAGTATGTATTTAGCTTTCGTTGACTTCAGCTTGCTTGATTAGAGTGCATATAGGGCATCTTACAAGTTTTTTCACTTTGGTTGCTTAGCATCCTTGTCAATCTGCAACCACTCATGTCCAATAATTCCATGGAAAATATTATTTTGGTGCTTTCTGATTCTGTTGCAGGTGATGCGAAATCTTCCGGAAAAACATCAAACTCTGCTGTTTAGTGCTACCATGCCTGTGGAGATTGAAGAGCTAGCACAGGTTTGATCTTTATTGTGATTACTGTATTTATTTTTTCCAATTCCATGTCAATGCCAATATAATTGACTTTTGGAGTCATTGCATTAAACTGAGACGCAATTATAAGTTTGTGAAGTATTAAGTTGGAAACTCTTTGTTTTGACTAAGACAATTTGATCATGTTTATATTATCTTAGTAAATTTGTTTTACATGTTTGATAAACACAACACAATACTCTCTTTTCTTCCATATGAGTAGAAAAATACTTTTGGCAATGAAGGAGTGTTGCAATGATAATGTTGCTCTGTTACTTGCATCTATGGTATGTGGATTGGCTCTATTGTGTGGATATCATGTTAGTTTCCTACATGTTCTTTTTTTTTTTTTTTGATAACTGTGAATGTCCGGGCTATCTTGCACGCACCTCGACTAATTCCACGGGGCCCTGAAGTTTACGGTCGCCTTAGTAGCCCTGAGGGGACTCGAACTGGTGACCATTGGGGAGCAACCCAAAACCTGACCAATTGAGCAACCCCTCAGGGTTTCCTACATGTTCTTTTATATGTATCACTCTTTGAGAAAAACCATGCATTATGCATTTTCAGTTTGCAGTTTTAGTGATTGCTGAGAGATTGTAACTCATGCGGACTTATATTTATACTTTAAAGACAGCGAACCTGTTAAAATCATTCCTTTGAAAACTTGTCACATGGAAATGCCATTTTTTTCCTCAATTTTTTAGGAATACTTGACAAATCCAGTTCGAGTAAAGGTGGGAAAAGTTAGTAGCCCAACTGCGAATGTGTCCCAAATATTGGAGAAGGTACCAGAAACTGAGAAGGTATGCTGCGCTTAGTATTTAAATAAGAAATAGTGTTCTTATGCAGTGATCAACTGGAACATAATCTTTTGCTTTTTAATTTTGATTGCCATTTTCCATATTTTCTTTCATTTTCCTTGTGATTGATTGCAATACATATCTTTATCTTTCCAACTTTGGATTGTCGAGATACTGATTTGCCTTGTACAAATATGGTGATATAGGGCAGATAAGCCGTTAGACTCCTATGATTTTAGAAACTGGGAATCTGATGCTGTCACTGGAACAGAAGATATAAGGACCAATAGAGTTCAATATGTGGCTAAAATAGTTAGGAATCTACTTTTAAAAGTAGATTAATATTACTTGTACATAATGTTGTACAGATTGGTTTACAGATTGATGATGTGGATAGTATTAGTTGGCTTCATTTCATTTCATTCTCTCTTTTTTTCTCTTTCTCTTCCACATCATCAATCTATAAACCAATCTGTACACAATTATGTATAAATAGCATTACTCGTAAAAGTAATAGTAATGGGAAAGTATCAAATTCTTTATATTGAAATGAAGGCCCACCAATTTGCCTATATATTGGATTCATAAAGCCTATATTTGTTATGAGTACATTATTTTGTTTGACTAAATGGTTGGCCTGTGTAATAATGGGGAAAATTATATATTTAAAGCCTATATGTTTGATCAAAGCATGCCATGGGGATGAAAATTAAACAATCATCGTAAACAATGTCTAGTGAATAATATATTTGTTAATAAAATTAAATTAAGGAGGTAACGACCTTTAGGTTATCACTGTATTAAAAATGTTAAATTTATAGCATGTTTGGTGCACATTAAAATGAGAGAATTCATTTTTTTGAAGTGATGTGATGGGGAATATGTGGTTGAAAATGAAGGAAAAATTATTGATGTGATGTGAAATATTATTTTATTGAAAAATGTGGTTGAAAATGAGTAGAAGAATAGGAATGAAAAAAATAATGTGAGTCAAACAAGGGCTTAATCTTCTTGTTGAATGAAGCAATAATTTTTTATTCATTATATCTCCAGTGTTCTGAGATTGGATCTATTTAATTGTAATCTATCTGTACTTTAAGATGATCATTGCTTATGGATAAAGCATATAGTTAACTCATGTGCCAGTCTAAATGTTCCTTGTTTAATGTCTGGGATTTGACATGGTGACAACTGTTTATGAATTGAAGGTTGACAGGCTTCTGGATATGCTTGTTGAAGAGGCTGCCCAATCTGAAAGAAGCGGCTACGACTTTCCCTTGACCATTGTATTCGTAGAACGAAAGGTACAAGTGATCCATGTTTACATTCGAATGTATATACATGGTGGGAACTGGGAAACTGTATGGAAACTTGCAAAGCATGAACCATAAATGACAATCTGTTGAAGGTTTATTCAACAGGTTGGAGCTTCAAACTTCTCATGATTTGGAAGGAAGCAATGTTATTAGATGTGTCGATATCTTTTGGCTTTTGCTGTTTTTCCCTGAAAACAGGACACTCCTTTATGCAGAAAACTATTGGAGCTGACGAAATTAGTAATATTATCCGTGAATTTTCACAACTAAATTTGGCGTTGATATTGCCTTTATGTTTTGAAGTAGACTAGAAGATGAGACCATTTGCCTGTTTTGAGTCATTTGTTTTCCTGTTCTTGTTCAACCAAAATTTAGGTTTATGGTACTGATGTGAACTCTTGCTCATGGATATCAAGTGCTGACATATTGCTTCACTCTTAGATTTGAAAGTTCCAATATCCTCTCTCTGTGTGTATGGACACGTCGGTGTCGCACGCACAAAATCGCACTTGCATTTTTGAATCAGATATCATGAATCTCATATCTTGTCAAATACCAAATGTGATATCATATTTTTTCACAGGTATTTTTTGAGTTCGGAACATTTCTGACAAGAATGTTGAAGTACCTGTTGGTTCCTTCTTTTGAAGTTATTTAGCCTTTTCATCTCATTCAGACAATTGCATATTTCTCTTCAAATGATGTAATAAAAACAATAGCGTTCCTAGTTAGCTGATTGTTGTTGTCTTATTGCACTGATTTCTCTTTTTGCCTATCTAATGTTGATGATGATGTTTATTGGACAAAAATAAATAATAAAATTTCATCAGATATACGACATTACAATGGTATATGCTTTGTTGTGAATCTATTTTTGATACCTTGTTTTCCCACAAATTTGGCATATGTAATGTATTATTTTGATACTCACTCCATGGATATTATTTCGTAGTACTGCATTATGTAAGTTTTCACATTCATATGATCTTTCAGACCAGATGTGATGAGGTAGCAGAAGCACTGATAGAGCAAGGTTTGCAAGCAGCTGCGCTTCATGGCGGTCGTAGTCAAAGTGAGAGAGAGGCTGCCCTCCGTGATTTTAGGCATGGTCCAACCAGGATACTGGTATTACTGCATTCCCCACTCCTATTTTTTTCTTCCATCGGTTAGTTTACTGATAAGTGATTTCTGTCATATCTTATATATCATTTCACATCTTGTTATGCTGTTTTGTCATTTGGTCCTTAGCGAGGCAAACTAAGCTCTATACGAGAAGCAGAGCTGCTATTTTTTATTTCCTTTTCATTTGCTTTTGTTCTTCTGTGTTATTCATGAGCACAAGGTTGGTGGGTTCATCATGATACTTCTGAAAACGAGATGACGGTTCTTGATATTATTCTGGAAGTCCCTTGGTTTTAGCCTGGTTTTCAAGCTATTTTTAAACCTTTTAATTATTATGGGCAATCGTTTTCTTTGATTTTCAAATGTAACAATTTGAAAGGGGACTTCTTATGGTGTGTTGAACTAGTGCATGCTTGCTAGTGATTTATATTATTCCTCGTGATGCATGTGATTTATTTATTGTCTACTTATTTTTGGCCTTTTATCTTCTTAACTTTCTTCTATTCGACTTGAGGCGTTTTTCAGCATCAGTACATCTGTGTGCATTTTTTGGTTTTGGTTTGCAGGTTGCCACTGATGTTGCATCTCGTGGATTAGATGTCACTGGTGTTGCTCATGTTATTAATCTAGATCTTCCAAAGGTACTGCTGGCTGCAATTTGAAGTTTCTTGCTTACCGACTAGCTCCAACTTCTTGTAAATTCAGTACTGATATATACACAATGATTGTCCAACGAGAGACTGCAATAATAAGATCTTGCCTCGGGCAAGTCACATATTGCGCATTTACCACTGGGTTGGCTTGTTCAACGCCATTTTATCATTTTTTCCTGTTGTTTAATCTTGAAAAATGTGATCTTGCCATTTCAAATTTTTTGGCATTCAAGCTTTTGAATGTTTACCGTAAATTATTTTTAGAAACCAGTTCTGTATGCAATTAAATTCTTCTGTTTTACATGCTGAATTTATTAACACTACGATTGAAGTAGCATAATTCTGTTATGCATCAAAACTAGGCCATGGAAGATTATGTACACCGAATTGGAAGGACTGGACGTGCAGGAGCAACAGGCCGAGCCACATCATTTTATACTGATCGCGATATGGTAACCCAATTTTTATCTTGCCTTGATATATTTTTGTACACATGGATTTTCCGCCTCTTATTAATGCAGTGCTGTCCTGTAGTATTTGGTAGCACAGATAAAGAAAGCAATAGCGGATGTTGACTCTGGTAATACCTTGACATTTGCAACTGGAAAGGTATGGCTTCCACTATTTTCATTTACAAAATCTGTCTTGTCTCTCTATCGAACCCTGTTCTCCCCTAGCCACCCTCTTCCCTCACCCTTCACACGAACCACCAAAAACCGACTGGAAATTCTGCTTCAATTTTAACAATTTTCTGTGTTCATTTTAGACTGCTCGAAGGAAGGAGAGGGAAGCTTCAGCTGCTCAGAAGGAAGCAAGGATTGCAATGTCCAAGGACACAGTGTTGGGACCTACTGTGATGAATGTGGAGGACAAGTATAGGCACATGATTACTTCTTCAATAATCAGAAAAGAGGGTTCAGCAGACGATGCTTGGGATGATTGATTCAATTTCCATTTACCTCTCTCACTGCTTCTGGTTCAGTTTTGATGGTTACACGAAGATTCCAAGAAATTAACGTCCATCAGAAGGTGCAATTTGTGCATTTCCTTTTACCTTACCTCAGGGACAGTTGCCAAAGGAAACATCAACACTTTCATTACTAACCCATCTCTTGTATTTTGTCCATGAGAATGAACTTTCATGAGACTGAAGCGTGCAAACCATGCAGCAAGCAGGTTTTGTCTTGTACATCTACATTTCACTTCCTAGTTTTAACACCAGTCGGTGGTACCAGTGACTCTTAAACCCCTGTTTGGTAGAGATTTTTTGATAATAGATTATGTGAAAAGTGAATTTTCTGGAGAATGTGTAGTTAAAGACAAGGAATTTGTTTTGATTTATATGCAAAATTATTTTATTGAGAGAATGTGTAGTTGAAAATGAGTTCAGGAAAAGTAAGTGTTAGAAAATCTGGGTCAAGCAAGGGCTAAGTTTGCGGAATTGGAAGGTTATGCATTACAAATCGTAAATGAAGTGCTGGCTATTTGTAAAAACTCGTCATTAGGATGGTCATTTGATTTTAAAGGCCGGAAATTATCCAGCTAAATCGATGATGCTCTTGTTTGACATCAGATTCTTTTCAATGCAAAGGGAGGTTTATATTAACTCTCACTTGGAATTTTTCAGATTCCACATTGCAGATACAGAAGAATATGCTTATTTTCGTAAATGAAGATCGGAAAACGGAATCTCATTCCCCTAAATGACATTTCACTACCGAGGCTGAGGATAAATAGACAGTCACAATGTAATTTATTATAAAGATAACAAACTCGCAGAAGCTTTTTAACATTTTAGCGAAGTAATCAAATTTCACTCTTGATAGACTCAGCAAATGAACAAGTTAAGTAGACAAGAGTAACCATATCATGAGTTGCCAAGTACCTGTATAACGATTGTGCACTTACAGAGTTCAAAAGCAGTAAGACCAGAAGATACACAAGCCCTAGAACTCGCGGAGTAGGGGGAAAAGAAAAGGAGACTCACAAGCGTGAATGCATGGAAACCAAAGAAACAATCGTGGTCTTTTGCGATTAGCAACTTAGGATGCCATCACGGGTAATCGCTTGTGCCTTGTAACAGCCTTGCGAAGTTCATGATACTCACTCTGGTAATGCTCAAGTGAGAAGCAAAGCTGCCTTATTGCTTCTCGTTTCTCTTCCGCTCCTTCCATAATAATTTCTTGCCTTTTCTCCACCTCTATTTCCAATTCTTTAACTCGTGATCGAAGATCCTCTGCCAGTTCGCGTGCACAAATCAAATCAACGTTGATTTTATCCACTTGCTCATCTTTAGAAATTATCTCTGCAGAAAGTGCAGCGATCTTAGCATTAAGATTGTCTTTTTGGGCTATCAGCATGTCGTATTTCAGATTCAGCACATCGAAGCTTTTCTTTAATTCTTCTATGTGATAATTTCTCTCAGTTATCTCTGCCTTCAACTGCTCAATTTGAGCTCTGAGCATATTTTCCATCTGTTCTTTTCCAGCCTTGACTCGTCTAACATCCTCCTCTAAGGTTTGGCAGCGTAAATCCAATTCTTTTAGATTATCTTCTAAATAAGTTCGCTCCTTCAAGGTTCTAGTTATTTCTGCTAAAAGTTGCCCATTTTCATCGGATAAGCTCTTATTGGCGTTGTTTATTGCTTCTTTCAATCCTCTGATTTCTTGATCACGATCAGAAAGATTGGCTTTGTACCTCGCAATCCTGTCCTGCAGCTTAGAAGCCTCTCTTTTCTCTCTCTCGACTTTGGTTTTCCATACAGAAACCTCCTTTTGCGCTGACTTGAGCTGATTTTGAAAATTTTGAATGCTGGAGTCCTTTTTCGTGTGTTCCTGCCTTGCACTGGCAACTTCCTTTTCCAATTCACGAAGCTTCGCTCTTGTTAATCCCAATTCTTCCTCGAGCTTCTGTATTTTGTTCACTGGGTCCGAATCTTCCAGTTCTGATCCATCTCCACTTTTCTGAAGCTCTCTCGTCTGATATCTTTCAACGTCAACATCGGGTTTCAAAACTTTGGCATCTTTCTGCTTCATATCACTTGAATCTTCTAGAGATCTATACTTTTGAATCTCAATTGTCAGACGATTAATTTCTTCTTGAGATAGCCGTATCTTTTCCTTCGCAGCCCTCAATTCTTCTTCGCATGCTACTAATTTAGCAAGAACTTGAGAATTTTCATCATCTGACTTCTTAACAGAGAATTTGGAAATCTGTTTCTGCTGCATCCGGAGTTTCTCTTTCATCTCACGGTGCTCAGCTTCCAACTCAATAATCCTCCGGCGCAGCCCCTGATCCTCATCGGTGCTCTGTGTACCTGAATAATTGTTAACGGATGAATCATCTGATTCTGATTCAGAATCCAACGATGATGATTCCTCCCCTTTAGTGCATAAATCCGAACTACTCCCACCAGTGCCGAGAAAGAATTCAAATCCAGCAGCACGGGGCCCAGATTTACGTTGACTTGGCCTTCGATCAGGAGATGGCACAGTAGAAGGCGGTTCGGACCCAACATCAGATATGCCAGAGCCCTGGGATTGAAGATCTGAAGGAATATTTTTTCGAAGTTCACCAGTCACATGATCATAACGCTCGGCCAATGACCGATATACACGATAAAACTCTTCAACAAGATTGATCAACTCCGGCCTCTTCTTGTAATACATTTCGGCCTTTTTGGCAAATGAATCCGCATCCTCTTCTATGAGTTTCAACATCCTTTTGACACTATGTTCCATTTCTGGGATCAAGGACCTTTTTGTCATTTTTGCTCGATAACATAATTCAAATTAAGACAATAAACAATGATGTCATGATTGAAATTGATAACCTAGTTTCTATTAAGATTTAAGGAAGATTAACAGTATAGACTTCTATCGTCCCTACTCTTTTAGCACATTATCAACCATTTTTCTTATTTCATAACAACGATAATCCAGTTCCTATTTTTCAATATGCTTGTATCTGCTACATAAATTTTCTATTTGTCAAATTATTTCACCAGCGAGAAACCATTATACGAGAAAAGCTAATAAGTTTAAACCAAAATCTAATACCTTCAAGATTTTCTTGTAGCCACTTGGAGTTTTTGGGACTAATGTGGCTATCCCACCACCAAGAATGTGATTTTTTCGATTCCAAGCGCTTCGTCTTGTTTGAGTAAACCTAGACGGAAAAGAGACAAAGATCACACAAGACATGCCAATAAACCACTAGAAAACGTGATTGAAAAGTACTATTAATATAAGAAATTACGAGGGCACTTAGGTTCTTACCTGGGTTGATGCCATCAGGGCGAAGTAGGCAGAATTCAATAGTTAGAGATAAGAAAATGAGTCGATTACCTGCAAGTGAGGTCGGTGTCAAGTACCTACAACATGTTATATACACACAGCATACTTGATGATATATGCATTTAAGCTGACAATTATGTAAATATTGATCGAATATCCATAACCATTGTAAGAATTAGGAAGTATTTCTTCGACGACTAAAATTAAATAAATAAATATGTATGTCTAATGTTCTTACTTCAAAAGTTAAAACTTTTAGACGAGGTAGTTCAACACAGTATCAAAGATCCATATTGCGGCCACAGAATGGTGACACCATTAATTACAAAAATTTCCAATCTTAACATTTTCAACCACTAAACTAACAAAAAAATATTAAATTAAGTAATAATAAACCAGAAAGCAGTTTCATTTAACTCTATTCATGACAAAATGGGCCAGCAAATTCCGAATGGACCACACCAATAAGCCTAATAAAGAAATGAGTCGACTACAGATATGGAGCCCCAATAATAAGGCCTAGATTAGTCTGGAGCTACAAATAATACAAAGGAAAAAAAAAAAACCAAAAAAAACCAAAAAATAGAGGACACGTGTGAAGCACATGGCAAGAACAAAAAACACGAAGCTCAAAACAAGTGGAACGTGCATCCCACTCGCCAACAACGCGTGTTTGCGTAATTATATGTGTCTGTGTGTGTATTTACACAATAATATAAAACTAGAGAGAGAGAAAGAGAAATACACACAATAATATAAAACTATAGAGAGAGAGAGGGGGAGAGAGAGAGAGGCCTGAAAATGGGATGTCCAGCTATATCCAGCAGTCTTCACATCATATTCTTGATTAATATTTTATTTTTTTAAAATGATAAATAAACTATAGCAAAAAAGGGTAAATAGAACCATCCATTCAAATGAAATTAATTTTTAATGTTTTATGGAATTATTGTCTGAAAAGGGATTACTTGGAGAGGTTTAATGTTTAAGAAAAAGATTTGTTTCACTGAAAATGATATGCCAATTGCCACCCCACCCCACAAACACAACAGAATTCAGTGGATGATGGATGGTTGAGGTCAGATGTCACTCAGAAATCTAATGAACAACATTATAAAAAGTAAATAATTGAATTGACAAAATAATTCAATCCAGAGAGAGAGAGAGAGAGAGAGAGAGCTGAATTCGTTCATACCTCAGATCAGAAGAAACTGACTGAATTCCACCATGCTAAAGCAGCTTCTGGGCTCTGATAAAAACATGGAATTTCGATCAATCAATTTTCACCCCACAGAGAGAAAAGAAAAGAAATAAAATTCTCCAAATACAACCATAGATTTGAGTTACAGAAAGTAGAAATAATTAAGAAAATACTTTATGAAGGAGAAAAAATGGAGGAAGGGGTGTACCTTTATAGTTTGTGGAATATTATCTGAAGATAGATAAGAAGAGAAGAGGCAATAAAGACAAAAACCCTAATGAAAAAAACACAAAATTGGAATCTCCGGCAAGAGAGGGCTGGTATTATGTGCTGATACTTTGTATTATTAAGAAGGAAAGATAGAAGAGACGGTGGGAAAAGACGGGAAATTCTCTCACATATGGAGAAGATGGAGAATTATAATTTGTTGCTAAGTCAGAGTTTTTGTCTTCTTTAATTTATACTTATTTCAAACACAATAAAGTTTTTGATTATAGTAATATCTAATTTTTATTAAAGTTGAATCTTCATAGTGACTGACCCAACTTAATTCCAATTTCAAATTTCAAACTCTCTTTTTCTACCATGTATTTATTTTTGTAGTTGCTTTTCCCACTATTCTTACTAATTTTTTTATCTAATTATTATGAATAGTATGTTGGCGGTATAGTGAAATGGTTGTTGATTAAATGATAAAGTAATATTTTAAATTTAATTCGAAAGAACGTAATTAAATTCTATGAAATTGAAACAAAAAGAAAGAAGAAAGAAAGGAAAAGAAGAAAAATAAAATTCGGGGCAAGTGATTAACACTTTTTCTTTAAGCCAAAATTGCCCAATAACGATGCTAAAGGATTACGGCACTTGTCATCCAAAATACAACAGATACAACTTGTAGTAGAAGCACTTCAAATCACAAACAACAGTGAACTCGAACAAAATTCTTCCCTCTACAAGAAGATGATTTTTGAAGAGTTTTTGCGAGAGTTTTTGATATAATATTCAATGCAAATGATATGAGATGTATAATGAACGTCCAAAATGTCCTATTTATAGAAAATGAATCATTGTAAATGAAGTGTTACACCCCAAACTCAACAACTTTTACGAAGGGAAGCATCTTTTATTGTCGTTGGCCTCTCGCTCAAGCGACAATGACACCTGTCCATCAGAAACTCTGTCGCCTGTCGGTCGCTCGAGTGATAGTCTCATCACTCGAGTGCTAGGTGAGCGATGGAGTTAGGCAAATTTCTCGGCCAATTTTTTCTCTTTTCTTTCCAACTTTGGAATGCAATTTCTATTCATCTGATATTGAGTTTGAGATTTCAAATATATTACAACAATCTACTCAATGAGTAGAACAAGTTAGTCTATTTATATTTATAATTTGACCATCGGATTAATTCTGAATATTTGGCCGAACTTGACTCAAAGTGACTTTTTCAAGTTTTATACTTGACTAAATTTTTCAATTTTAAATCAAATTCCAACAATCCGTTACATGAATGAAAATTCAAGCATGCTCATACTATGCGAAAATATGATGCATTGTAGAGATAGCAGAAAAACACTACATCAGGTAAGGTAACTCGTGGCCTTGAACTTTCCTTAGTGAAATACTATCAGATTTATTTGGCTAATTGGTGAACGTGATATTTTGAACCATTTAGCCGTTGGTGTAAATTAAGACAATAATGTTCACACATGTCTTTCCTAAATCGTTTATGGTTCTCATAACTTTGTTCATTTTGACCTTGAACTCCTCTTGATTTCATAAGTGTTTAGAAAATTTCATCCTTGAACAATTTTCGTTGAGGCAGCCACACCTCACACTTACATTGGTGACTTCCTATTAAGAGTATTCTACCATAATCCACTTGACTTAATCAACATATATGAATCATTAAAAACATATCTTATCCTTTAACATTTTGCGTAAAGCACTTTAATTATCATATAAATGAGTTATGAAATATTTTTTCTCAAGTGCTTGATTGAATTTTCATAACTTAGTTATTCCCTTCAACTAAAATCTTAAGATCTCCAGTCAACAAGGTAGGGTTACCATTACAAAGACTCTTACGTAGTAGGCTTTAATCTCATTCCTCTCGATATGTNTACCATTACAAAGATTCTTACGTAGTAGGCTTTAATCTCATTCCTTTCGATAGCAACGTACTTGATCCCTATGTCAACTTTTCATCCTTTGACTTCACATAATCTATGGAGATGATACCATTAGAGATCAGTTGCTTAATAGTATTCTGTTTACGATATATATGTCTAGATTTACCATTATATATGTTGCTTTGAGTCATTCCAATAGCCGATTGACTATCACAATGTATACTAATTGCGATACCAACTTAGGCCAACATGGAATATCTTCCAAGAAGTTACTAATCAATTCTGCTTCTTCTCTTGCTTTGTCCAAAACAATAAACTCTGATTCTATCGTTGATCGAGTTATACATGTTTGCTTTGTCGACTTTCATGATACAACAGCTTTACCAATTGTAAATACATAACCACTAGTAGATTTAGAATCATTCATGTTGGATATCCAATTTGCATCACAATATCCTTCCAATATCAGGGGATATTTTGTGAAGTGTAATCCATAGGTTAATGTATTCTTTAAGAACCTAAGAACCCTTGTTAAAGCCTTCTAATGATCATGATTTTGATTACTTGTGAATCTATTAAGTTTATTCACAGTAAATACTATGTCCGATTTAGTACAGTTTGTAATATACGTTAGACTGCATATAACCTGTGAATATTTATTAAATGATAGTCTCATCGCTCGAGTGCTAAGCGAGCGATGGAGTTATGCAAATTTCCATGCCAGTTTTTCCTCTTTTCTTTCCAACTTTGGACAGCAATTTATCATTAATTCGAAATTGGTTTTGAGATTCCAAATGTATCACGATGATCTACTCGATGAGTAGAACAAATTAATTTATTTATATTTATAATTTGACTATCAGATCAAGTCTGAATATTTGACCGAAGTTTACTCAAAGTCACTTTTCCAACTTTTATACAACTAAATTTTTTAATTTTAAACCAAATTCTAACATAGTGTTATTAAGTCACGGAAATGAATAATTTCAAAAGTATATCTTGTCACTTGTCACAAATATTACCATGTGAAAAGCAATAATGGAGTAGTGAAAATTGAAGAATTGATTCTTGACTAAATTACCTTAGAAAGATGTTCACATGGTTAATTTTAAATGACTATTGTTATACCGAAGGATAAAACTGCCCGAGTGTACATCCAAAGTTACATCCGCCTATGTAGAGAGGGCAGTGCAGTGATGGAATTTTCGAATTCAAAATCAATGGTGCAGACTAAGTCACTCGGCGGAGTGTCAATCATGATGTCAAAAATAATGTACATGTAGCATGATTGTATACTTATTGATGATGTAACACCTCAATATCCATTGAGTTGACTAAATGAAAAATTCAAGGAGTTAGTCCAAAAAAGATTGTCTCTCATCAACTATCAACCAAGCCATGTCATTGCAGTTCGAACCATGTGAGGTTGAGTTTACGAGCCGATTGTATAAAGGCAATCCAACTAAGTACTTAGGAGTTGGACTCTTTGCCTCGGGCACCTATATCCCAATTTCATTCATTTAATACCCTGCTGGAAATGGCTACTAATACCCCATAGGCTGATGAGCAAAAGATGGAATTCGTCCGAGGAGGGACTTGCTTTTGATTAGCTTGTTAGTGAAGCAATAGCTTACTAAGGCGGCAAATTTGAATTCATATACATATCTTGGTATATATAGAGGCACATATGTTTCCGTTCGAAATAAAGACATTGTGAATGTAGCATAATTTGCAAGTTGATAGAACCCCGTGGGTGAATCTTCCATCTCCAAGGAAAAACATTGGATAAGAAGAAACTCTCATGTCCGATTCCGTGGTAGGGAGATCAACCCGAAGGTTGATTGAAACTATAGTCTTGCTTAGCCTCATTAGTCGAGCGCCAATGTTTGCAAAACCTGCATGGCCAACACAAGGAGTCAACTTGGTAGATGCAACATGACTTTGCAAGGTGTGAAGCTCGACAACATAAGTGAAGCATACATTACACTTCTTAATATAGATTGACCTCAAAATCAAGGATGAGACTATAGTTTATTAGACACACTAGACAAATTAGTGTGTCTACCTCATTGTCGAGAGATGTGACAACTCGTATCAACTATTAACTATTCATATCAATCTTAGATACAACGAATAACTTTTCAAAATATAGTGTTCGTCTCTAATTCTAGTCTCCGATAATCAAGCACATTAATTGTGATAGTGACAATTATATTTAAAGATAAAACAGAAACATCCGCAATACATTTTACAAATTATTTTGATTTTTGAACATCTTATTCATCAGGCCCCGTTTGAGCCCCATTTTTTCTCATTCCATTACATTAATTTTTTCTCTCTTCATCTCAACCACATATTCATCAATTAAAATAATATTACACACAAACCTAAAACTTTTCCACCACACATTCTTCCATCAATTAATTGGACCGAACATAAAGTATTTTCTAAATTTCTCGAGACGGCAAAATGTACACATTTCCCGTTGGCCGGTAAATTGACAAATGGTTTCTTATCAATTCTAAAAGACCAATAAAACATAATATTTGAAGCATCCATTTTTTAGAAAATTTATCATTTTTAGACAACTTATTAAGAATAGCTACGCGTGGATTAATTGTAGATTTCAAAAATAAATAAAGATTGGCATTGCTTAGAAAATTGACCAATACATTCTTTTAAGAAAAATTCAACAATGGAAAAAATGTCATACCTTGAATCTTGAACATATACGGGAAATTAAACAATCAACTCTGCTTTGATCGCCTAAGTGCGCCTTATTTGACAAGTGATATTTTCTTATTTTGAAGTTCAGCTCAATAATTGCTAAATTTTTTTTTAAAAAAAAACTAAGTCCAATAAAAAACTTTTCATAAAGTCCAAACTCAACCTATGAACGTAGTTTTCATTGCTTACGGACAAACATTACTAATTTGAAGTATTTATGATTTTAAGAATTATGCTTTTGTTGGAAACTTAAAAATTTTGTACGATGTTTCTATAAATTTTCAAGATGTATGTTATCTTATTTATTGGCCTATAATAATAAAATGATATTAAAAATTAAAAAACATCTCATTTCTCCTAAGCGCGTCTAGATTCGTAAGGTTGCTCATTAGATCATTTCTGAATTTCAGAAATATGTACGATGTTACTAATTTGAAGTATTTATGATTCTAAGAATTATGCTTTTGTTGGAAGCATAAAAAATATGTACGATGTTTCTATAAATTTTCAAGACGTATGTGATCTTATTTATTGGCCTATAATAATAAAATGATATTAAAAATTTAAAAACATCTCATTTCTCCTAAGCGCGTCTAGATTCGTAAGGCTTAGAAACTTGACTTTCACGCTTTATCACACCTTGCCCCTCGTAAAATCTTGGTGAAATGAGTAACACTGTCAACCTCTATTTTTTATAAAAAAAAAAAAAAAAAATTGTTGCAAAAGGCATATAAACCCTAGATATGTTTCTGTTAATTCCAGATTTAAATAATAATTCAAATATAAAAACCGAAATTCAATAATATATAGCAATAAATTTAAAATAAAAATTAATTACCAAATATAGATCTACAATTTGAAATCAAATATCCTAATTTAGTGATTCTTGATACAATAAAAATTAATTTTAAATTTTTGTAACTGAAAATTTTGAAATCATATGATAGGAATTTCTTATTAAAAACAATTGGAGCATTCATGTTTATGTTTGACCTAAATCAATTATGCCACCTTGCACGTTCTTCATAATCTACAATTGGGCCTGCAATTTATTAAAATAGATTAAGCATGATTTCAGTTGTTGACAATATATATGACAAAATTATGTATTAAAACGTGATCCGCAATTGATTTTAATTTTGATAACGTGAAAGTTCACTCGTTGCAAATTAAGATTTATTTTCAATTCTTCCATATGTTGTATTGAGATTACATAATTTATTTATTTATTTTTTAGTGTTAGACATGTCTTATCCACTTAAAATTATCTTTATCGTTAGTTTATTCTTATGATGGTATAGGTAAGGGTAAACATCGGGGACTAGTTCTGTGCGCTGTTTGGTTTGGGTTGGCTTCGACTCCATCTCGAAACCAAAACCAAATTAGTCGGTTTGACCGTTTGAGTGAATTTCAATCAAAATCAACACACACTAGCTTTTAAACCGAATCGACCCAAACCATATCGGTTTAGTTTGATTCTATTCGGTTAGTTGACGGACTTTTAGTCCAAATTTAATTTAAAAAAAAAAATTGTCTTGATTTTGAACCCACTTAGATTACAAGAACTAAAATAATTTTATATTACAAAAACTATTGACTAACAAATAAAAACAGATTAAAAGAGACATCAACAGAAAATTTAAGAATTTGGTTTTTTTTTTTTTTTATGTATTATGTAGCATGACTGTCTGACAGTCTGAGTAGGGGAAAAAAAAAGATAAGTATAAAATAATGAACGTGTGAAATGAAATTTTCAATGCTATTACTTACTGGCTACATCATATATTGGAGAGAATTGAAATATAGTTATGAAATTAGGACTTATCTTTTGATTTTTTTTCTTAAAAAAGAAGAAGTAAACGTGGGTTTGATCAGTTCGGTTAATCAGAGGTTCGAGGTTTCAAATCATGGCTAAACCAACCCACCATGGTTTTGTTTTAAAAAAAAAAAAAAAAATTCCAAACCAATTATCTATGTCAAACCGACCCAAGCCAGTTCGGTTTGATTGGTTTGGTCAGTTTTTCGATTTTTTGCTCAGGCCTACTAGGGACCTACTAGGGACGTATTTGATTCTCTAATTTGGGTTGAAAATTTGATATTCGGTTAGGTCGGGCGCAGTTTCGCTTGGCAAATCATCAGCAACACAATAATTTACATGATTTTTGTAAGAAATAAGGTATTTTGGTTTTTTGAGTTCTCCAATTGGACCGAATATTCAACTCCAATTATCAAAATAGCGATCACTAATCAGGATAATTCTTCACAATGTCAAAAGGTAATTTCTTTTAATTTGCTGTTTCCCATGTTGTTTTGACACTTTGAAATGTAGCTATTTTTCGCTGTGATGGTGTTTTTTTGATTCGTGTTCAATTTTGCTACCAATTCCAACACAAGATGTTCAACAACAATAATTAAGTCATGAAGACATCATTATACTTGGTCAAGATCCATTTACCATTTGCTAATTACCACCAAATAAAAAAGCAACACATTAGGATTGTCACCGACTAACCAAATTATTCAACCTCAATTTTATTTGTAATGAACCTTATTATCTCAATAGGGAATCTCACCCCGTCCCCATATATTCCAACTTTTGCACTTGGGGTCCTCCAATTATCTATGTCAAACCGACCCAATTCGGTTTGATTGGTTTGATCAGTTTTTCGATTTTTTGCTCAGGCCTACTAGGGACGTATTTGATTCTCTAATTTGGGCTGAAAATTTGATATTCGGTTAGGTCGGGCGCAGTTTCGCTTGGCAAATCATCAGCAACACAATAATTTACATGATTTTTGTAGGAAATAAGGTATTTTGGTTTTTTGAGTTCTCCAATTGGACCGAATATTCAACTCCAATTATCAAAATAGTGATCACTAATCAGGATAATTCTTCACAATGTCAAAAAGTGACGTCTTTTAATTTGCTGTTTCCCATGTTGTTTTGACACTTTGAAATGTAGCTATTTTTCGCTGTGATGGTGTTTTTTGATTCGTGTTCATTTTTGCTACCAATTCCAACACAAGATGTTCAACAACAATAATGAAGTCATGAAGACATCATTATACTTGGTCAAGATCCATTTACCATTTGCTAATTACGACCAAATAAAAAAGCAACACATTAGGATTGTCACCGACTAACCAAATTATTCAACCTCAATTTTATTTGTAATGAACCTTATTATCTCAATAGGGAATCTCACCCCGTCCCCATACATTCCAACTTTTGCACTTGGGGTCCCCATTCATTATTTGGTCACTTTTAAGACCCCAGACCGTCTTTTTTGGCGCCCGTAAGGATAACTTTCCGTTAAATAGTTGAACAATTTTCATCCGTCCTTATGAGAACCAAAAGTGACAGTTTAGGGGCCTAAATGAAACGAAAAAAAAATGAATAGACACAAATGAGGCAAGTAGTAACATATTTACCCTTTTTTTTTTACCAACGTTCTACAGAGAAAAACACCGCACATACTAATGTTAGTTAAAAACCATGCATATACTAATTGAACACAGTAAATTCGATTCGCATGCCCAACTTTTAAACAAAACTCATTCTCTCTTCATAACTATCTTCATAGACTTTACACAGATATTCTTATTAAGCATGCCAAAAAAGTAATAGACTTGATTTACTTAAGAGATCCAGTAAAAGGTGTCAGGCACTTCACAAGTATGAAACAAAGAGCTCTAAAGAACACCAAAATTGTCATTATGTTCCAGCTTTCCGACGACCAACCCGAGCAACAAATCCAGCCTTAATTGGAGCAACAGATCGCCCAGAACCACACTACAAGAAAATTTAAATGAAAAACAATAAGTAAACCATGGGAGCAACACAAAACTATATGCACAACTAAAAAGGGGCTTGCACTTCTCATGAGGACGGAAAACTGTCAAATTCCTTACGCGACTAGGATTGGACGCTTAGAGCAAGGTTTTTTTTTTGTCATATCATAGGATCAAAAGCTACAACAGTTGTCAAGGTCATCTATATAAAGTAAACTGAGGCCTCAGAGCATTCTAAAACTCTTCTTCTAAAAGTAATGAAATCAGACAATGTAGACAAATCATTGATCATCACAGGCCTTTCTCCCAAAAAAAAAAAAAATGGCTTCTATAGAAAATCTGATTGTAACTGTATGGGCTCAACTATTATCACAGAAAAAATGAACGACAAAAAGTGCCTGCTTTAGGAGGAAGACGAAAAGATATTATCAGAGAAAGAGAGACATAATTAGTGTTCAAGCACTGTGAATTTAACCTGAGGCCTCAGATTATTTCAATGTTCTCCTTCAATATATGCAGTCAGACAATGTAGGCAAATATTTCAATCATCACAGGCCTCAGGGAAAATAAACTAATAGTGGCTTCTCAAGAGAAAAAATTAACTTCTCTTTCAAAAAAATTAAATTTTAACAAGGCCCGTAATTTGAGTCTCTGATTTAAGTTTTAACATGAATTGCATGCATAAACAAACATGAAGACGAGACATTACCTTCTCGCATCTGAGAAAGAAGAGACTGTTCTCTTTTGAAAGGATAGTATCTGGACTTTTGCAGCCGTTGCATATCACATAATCATCTGGAAACATTATTTGCAAACAATCACTCTCAAGAATTCCTTAGAAGCAAAAGTCAAGTGCTGCTTTAAACAACTTAGTGAGTAGATCACCAAAATAGAACATGGATTACATAATAAAAGTACAATTAAACACGCAATGGTGCTTGTTTATGACTTGTTCAAGGCCAGTTTAAACAACTTCAGCATGAAATTCTTTCCAAAATATATTTGAAATTAATATTATCCATTAATTTGTATATTATAGTAAGTGGATTTAATCAAATTGTATTCTTCAGAATACAGCAAAGAATCAGAACTTACTGACATAGCGCCGCAGGATTCTCTCAAAATTCTTGGGTGCAAATCTCCCCTTGACTACCAATCTCTGTTGTCCATCAAGTGATCCACTTGTTCCCATCTCAGCCAGCAAGAACGTCATAACATGCTCTGGTTGCCTGTGCATCCTGTACATAGGAAATCCACATCGAGGAAGTTATAAACTAAGATACTGATGTCCGCAAGGGGCAAATATAAAGCAACATTAGAAACGCTACCAGGCACAAGTGGCAAAAAAATTATTGAACTATCTTAACAGAATAACAGGTACTTAGAAATAAGAAATGAATATTTATCTTTAGACGTGTGAAAGTCCAACATGCCTTGAGTTCTTGTGCAAACCAATACAACAAAAAATGAAAAAGAAATCGGAGAAATAAATATACTTTTTTTCAACTTTTGGGCATCACAGAATTGATGCAGAAATTTATTAGGTCAAAGCTGAAATAAAAAATCGTGAAACTCATAACACAAGTAATTTAATCAAGAAAGGAAATGGCATATGTTTTGCAAAGATCCATGATATTAACAAAAACGGTTTTCTTCGTGCCTTCACGAAGAACTTGAGGAGGTCTCATAACAGTCCTACGCCGATCTCCAGCAAGTTCAGGATTATTCTCACGGAGGATGTTGAACACTCTTCCTAGAAGCTGTACAAGGTTAACCAAAGTGAATTAAAAGTCACTAAGGAGTAAATATTGAGGAAGAAAAGAAAGAAAGAAAGAAGAAATCAAGTTCATAATGTTTCAGAACCTAATATAAGAAGTGTTACAAAATTATTAAAAGGAAAAAAGAACAAGAACAAGTTTAGCTTTATTCCCAAAAAAATGGGTTCAACTACATGGATTCTTTTCCGCCATTCTATTGAATTTAAAGGAAAAAAGAACAAGAACAAGCATAATTTGAGATTTCATTTATGATATTTTGGACAAATTCCTCACTTCTAACCAATTCTACTGAAATTACATCATAATACAAAGTGGGAGACTTTTTACATTTATAAAAGGCATCCATCACCATCTAAGACATCCTTTCCTTAATTATCCACAATTGGTATTACCTTCAATTTTGACATATATTCTCATTTAGTTTTATATATTCCACTGTAGACACACCTGTCGTAATATCTATAATACTGCTACCTTCATCTTATGAAGTGTTTTCCTTGAATGATCCAAACATCAATACACAAATATGTTGGTCCAATAAATGTTCGTTCAACTGCTATATTTTTCGGTACATTATACTATCTTCGAGTCCTCGAATTTTATTTCAAAAAAATGATAGGAAAGTACCGAATAGATGACTTTTACATGTTCACTTCCAGTATCAAAACATGAAAAGGTTTTATAGATCACAGAATAACAACTTAAGCACGAATCAAAAATACTGATAGATATTTGCCTTTCTAATGTTACAGGAGAGATCCTATTAGCATTCTGATACAAGGTATGCTGACAAGCCTAGGATATTCTGTTTCAGGTTTTTATCATGATACTAAGAGCGTAAGTAAGATGAGCCCATAGAAAATACATTTGCATGTGAACAAACGACAAGAAAATAACCAAAGTAACCTCAAACCCGAACGTTTTTGCCTTTGAATCAGATTCTGAATATATCATTTGTATTCTAACTTTGCTGACGTCTGATCGTCTAGTCAATATTTACCCCAAGGTGTAAGCATAAATAGAAACTGATAAGAAAGGTAAAGGCAGAGGGTACATGAGGACACTGCATGAAACTGGATTTCACCCCCATTGAAACGTATTGTTAAAAAAAAGGCGCAAACCAGGAAAATATACCTGACAAATACATAATCAATCAATACACTACTGCTTTAAAATTTGAAACATAATATCAAACAGTAATCATTTCCTACAACCACCATATGGTAGCCCATTGCCCCATTCATATGCAAAATGGTCCAAATCATATCAAGTGATAACCTCAGAACACTGCATTACTATATGTCACACACCATATTCACATAAGAGTCAGCAGTGCATAAGTACAACATTGCATAGTACATATTTCTCCTATTACGTTTTTATTCTACAATTAGACGGACGTACATGATCAGAAATCACGAAAGAAACACTTCCATATGGATGTGCAAGTAATAAAAAATTCACCCAGTAAACATTATCCTATAATGTTACATGTATGATTAATAAGATTAAGCTCCAGCCTAACGTTTTGCAATACACATTTCCAACAAAAAATATTGAATATGTAATGCCTGAAATTTTTATAAAGCACTTTGACCTTAGTATACAAATTAGAAAAAGAACTTACTTCCTCGTACTCATAATTCCTATCACTTCCATCCCATGGATATTGTTGCAGAACAATCCCTTCTCCCTCTTCATCCTCTCCGATATCTGAAATTTGGGAGTACATAACAAAATTATTAAAGGAGCTTAACAACCCAGTTAAGAGAAGACATAAATCAGATGTAGCCTCAAATATTTATCAGTTATAAACAAACTTCTCACCTTCCAAATCATCGCCTGCATTCTCTGTCATCATCTAGAAGATCGGTATGAACCAGCAGGCAAAATAATGTCAATTAATAATTACCTGGAAATAATTTTTCCATCAGAATCACAAACTCAGAACAGATGACAAAATCACTAACCCGTTTCTTCTTCTTCTTTTCACGCCAGCAAATGAAGTTTCAAGACCGTCAGAAACTGCATGCTTAAGTATACATACATCAGCAACATGACACAATTGCGGCTCAAGAAAAGAACTGCAGAAAGGGAATAATGTAGAAGAAATCAAGAAACTAGATTGCTGAATTAATTTACCAGACAGGCTCTCAGTTTTCTCGGCCATATTATCAACAGTCTCATCTTCGGCAGGATCTTGAATCATGACCTTCTTCTTTTTCTTCTTCTTTGTAGGGTCAAAAGGGGCAATCTACAGTAACAAACAATTGAAATAGTCCTTGGAATTATTCAAATGCCATGAGGATTGTAAGAATGAATTTTCTCTTAGAATACAGAGGGACCTGTATTTTTAACAACTTAGTCCAAGATCCATTCTAGGAAAAAAAATAAGGCTCTTCAGCATACAGAACTCACAAGAAACCAAGCAAATCAAAGTGTCCAAAATCGCTTTTACCCTACCCAATTCTCATTACTTCGCTCGTTGCAGCTTCAAATCCAAAAGAATAAAATAAATGCAATTATTTTCCATTTCGCAACTCACTAAATTTCATTCACATAATTTTCGTATTCTGATGCTGCTTAACGCAACTATCACACAGAACTATATGTTGTCCCCCCGACTAGATAGGTTAATCACATTATTCATATACAGCAACATACACAATCAATTCAAATAGCTAACATGCCATCCCCAATTTTTGCACGTCCACGTCACCAAGAGTAAAAACCTTTACTAGTATCAGCAGTAATTTACAAATACAGTCACTCCCACCGTATCAAAAAGAAATACAAGAATACGTGTTCTACTGTGAACAAGACAATGCAGGTATAGCAACATAAAACTAGCACATAAGTGCAGTAATTTACAAATACTGTCACTCCCACCGTATCTAAAAGAAATACAAGTATACGTGTTCTACTGTGAACAAGACAATGCAGGTATAGCATCATAAAACTAGAACATAAGATAGAAACTTACATCTCCTGCCTCCTCCTTAACCTCCTTAATTTCGTTTGGATTTTCCTCCTCAGCCATGGTTGTACTTAGATCTGCAACAGAAATTCAAAAATGCGAATCAACTTCGATATCTCGTAAGACAACATTAACGTAAAATTTTTATCGCTGTTAAAATCGTAACCCTGGCGCATTATAAGAAATTCCGTGGGTGATATATAGAGTTTATGGTTGTGTCCACAAAATGGTGGACTGGGCTTAGATTTGTTTATCTAAAAACCATTGATATAGGCTGAATCAGAAATCCGGCCCAAGCTCTAGTGCCCACAAAGGCCTTTAGATTCTATAGCGTAATTAGAAGAGGAAATTACACCCACAAAGGTTTTTAAGTTACCATTTTTAAAAATACAGAATCAACTTTAATAATACATAAATCAGGTTTTAATTAATAATTTTTAAATTATTTTTTATTTAAATCAATCCTATACAAAATCAAACCCTAATTTTTTCATTTGCCCCCCTCCCCCTCCTTCTCTCTCCNATTTTTAAATTATTTTTTATTTAAATCAATCCTATACAAAATCAAACCCTAATTTTTTCATTTGCCCCCCTCCCCCTCCTTCTCTCTCTCCCTCTCTCCATTCCAACCGACCACCGCCTCTCTTCTCCCTCAAACCGGCTGCACCCACCTCTCTCTCCCCCGTTCACTCCTCTCACCAGCCACTTCCGAGGCGAAGTTCATAGAGCTGCCAAGCGCAGCAGCGATGATTGAAAAATGCGTCGTTGTGCGCCTGAACTAAAGCCCTAGACGGGGTCGCTGGGCGATGGCATAGATTAATCAATGGATGACGTTACTAGCTTGGTTGGTATGTCACGATCTAGTGCACAACGGCCATGGTTTCAGATCTGCTATTTATCCGCCTGTCGTCGTTGCTCGTGTGGCTGTGGTCGCCGCCATGGCTGGGATCTGCAGCTCCACAATTTGATGTGGTTTTTGGGCCTGTTTTCAATTGGTGGTGGATGGGGGCTGTGGTGGTGGTGGTGGTGGT